TTTTTTTTTTCTTAACATATATTGCATTATTTGTTTCAGAGGTACAGATCTGAGATTCAACAGTCTTGCACAATTCACAACATCATTAGTTTTTGATGTAGTGTTCCGTGATTCATTGTTTGCGTTTAACACCCGGTGCTCCATGCAATACGTGCCCTCCTTAATACCCATCACTGGGCTAACCCATCCCCCCACCCCCCCATCATTAGTTTTTGATGTAGTGTTCAACGATTCATTAGTCACGTGTAACACCCAGTGCTCAGCAGATGCCCATCATTTTCATCACTGCCCTTGTCGGTCTTCCCTCCAGGGTGAGCCGAGAGTGACCTCCTTCCTCTCCTGGCCACGGGGACGGGGGGGCAGCTTCTGGTGCCCAGTTTGGAGACTCGGTTCCTGCCACCAGGTACCGGGTGCCTCTGGGAGATGGGAGGCTCTTCCAGGAAGGTGAGCCCTGCATCACCCAGAGCCTGACTCGGCTGGGACGTCGCCACCCCGCGGCAGGCTGTAATCTGCACCCCGCCTCCATGGGTATCAGAGCCCCCCTCCCCTCTTACCCTGCCTTCTCCTGCCTCCCACCGGCACCTGTGAGTGCTGGAAGGCTGAGGCCCCTGGGCTGCACTCCTCATGGAGCCGGCTGCGGCCAAGGGCTGCCCACTGAGCCGATGGCCCCGAGCAGAGGCTCGCCGCTGGGTAGGCTGAGGAAAGCACCTTGACTTCTCTATGCCTCGTCCTCCTTTTCACCTACCTTTCTTTGCGGTGGAATATTTTCCTCTGGAAGGTGCACAGCCTGTGTTGTGTTTGGAGGCAGGAGGTGATTTAGTAAAAGACCTCACATTTAGACAAGCCGTTCTCCCCACCCCCCACCCCCAACCCCCTATGCTCCAAGTCTGCCAAGATAAATAGCTTTAATTAGTCCTCGTTTGGTGGCTGTGATAGTTTCCCCAAGAGGCAGGGACTTGGAATGTGGCCCGTTGCCCCCTGAGCTGGTGACGGCTTACCTATCTCGTCCTCCACCTCTGTTCTCCATTCCACAGCCTCCCTCGTCTTGCGTGAGGATGGAAGGTTCCACAGGGGGGAGAATGTAACTCCAGGCTTTTGTCCTTATTCCACTGGGTCCCTCTGACCCAGGTCTGACCAGTCCGAAGGACCCAGTGACCCTCTGCGTGTCCCATTACTGCTTGTTCCAGAGGGAGGAGGAGGGCAGTGAGGGCAGGAAGGTTACCGTGTGGGTGCCCAGTGCCCAACATCTTCGAGTGGTTAGGTGACCTTCCCGAGGCCACGCGTGCCGTCAGGGCCTGGGCACCTGGACCCCCTGCACTTAGGGAAGGGGCCTGACCTCCTGGACCCCATGCCCCGAGGGCCACCACGCAGGTGGGCATCCCCCAAGTGCCCCCCGGGTCTGGGCGCTGTGCCAGCCATGTGCGGAGCCCTGGGTCTGTGCTTCTCTGGGTCGTCAGTTGGGGAGGAAGGTGGTGTTAAATAAGGAGTTGCTGTGTGACGGGGGACTTGTCCAGGAAGTGCTGGAGGACCTCGAGGAGGTAACAGCGAGCAACACAGGAGAAGAAGAGGGGTAGGGCGTTGTGGATCTCAGGAGCCATGGAGGCCAGTGAGAAGTCCTGCCCGTGGTCTGGGGGTGGCGAAGACCAGCGTGGCATGACTGGGGATGTGGAGGAGGGGCTCGTGAGCCCCGTGAGGAGTTTGTACTTGTTCCAGAAGGCTCTGGGGAAACCATGGGGAGGTCTAAGCAGGAGAATGGCTGCCACAGATTGGCCACGTTAGACACTGTGACCGGGAGGTGACGGAGTCCGAGCATGTGTTCCCAGGACCATCTGGTTAGTTCCGCTGAGACAGGCCTCCCTGTGTCTGCCGCTCCCTGAATCAGCTCTTTCGAGGCCCTTCTGGGTGCCACGCCTTGGGGTCAGCCCAGGGTGAGGTGGTGAGCAGGGCTTTTCCCTTAAGCCTGGGACCAGGGAGGCCCCTGTGCGTCAGGGTCCCCCAGCTTCTGCCCAGGGAGCCATCTAGGAGGGGGTATCTGGGTTGGTTCTCTGATGCATGGGGAGCAGGCAGCTTTGTCCCCCTGAGAGCCACTGGCTTCCCAGCTTCCCTCATCTCCTGCCTGGCTCGCAGCTCCTCCAGCCCTGTCCCCAAGGCCGTCTCAGCACTTGGTCCTTCCAGGTGCCACCCACGGCAGTGGGAGCGGCCGGACTCCCCAGCCTCTCGAGACCTAGATCTGCCCATCCGGCTTGGGAGTCCAGCCCATCAACCTCCCCGGCCACAGCCACACTGCCCCGGTCCCCTCCTTCTCCCGACTGGGCCCCTCGAGGAGAAGCATGCCTCTTGGGTGTCTCCCCCACCCTGAGTACTGATACCGCACACTTCCGGTCACTGAGTGTGTGGGTGGGGGCCTCCCCACACCGGCTGCGTGGCCTACAGTCACCTCCGTTCCCACACTGCCCGCCCGCCTGGACATAGTGTCACACCCCCCAGGATAAGGGCCCGGTCCCACCAGACTGTCGCCCTCCACCCCCACTGCCAGTCATGAGTCCAGGATGTCCCCTGTGCTTCTTGCCCCCGGCTATCAATCTGAGGTTCCCAGGGCCCCCTTCTCAGGCTCACTGAATTTGCTGGAGCGGCGCTCAGAGCTCAAGGAAACCATTTACTTCCTAGATCGGTGGTTAATGTAGAAAGGATAGAACTCAGGAGCAGCCAGAGGGAAAAGAGGTGTAAGGCAGGGTGTGGGGAAGGGGCGCCCCTCTCCCAGCACCTCGTGCTCACCAGCCAGGAAGCTCTCTGAGCCCTGTCCTTTGGGTTTTATTTTTATGGAGACTTTATACGCAGAAATGATTAAGTCCTTGGCCATTGGAGGCCTAGGAGGGGGACTGAAAGTTCCAACCCTCTAATTACTTGGTTGGTCCCCCTGGCAACCAGCCTCCATCCTTAGAGGCTTTTGGAGAGTCACCTCATTAACATAAACTCAAGTGGTCGAAAGGGGCTTTGACTGACTCACAGAAGACCCTTTTATTGTTCTTATCACCTCGGGCACTCCCAGAGTCTTAGGAGCTCTGTGCCAGGTATCTGTTCAGTATAAATCACAACATCACAGCCTCCTTTTCTCCCTGCCTTCCCATGTGCCTTTTTTCCTCTTGCTGGAGAATTCATTGCCACTATCTATCCCAGCCACGGTCAGGTGCCATCTCTAGGCTCCCTTGGGGCCCCTGTTCCCCTGGTAGCAGTGCCCGTTACTTGGGGGTCCTCATCACCGGCTACCCAGCTGTCCTCACCGCCTCTGGGATGGGGAGAGTGTCTCCACTTCTCGATGTCCAGTGAGCCAACAAGGAAGTGGGCGGAAAGGGGGCTCAGCGCCCAGCCTCTCTGCACCTGTGGTTCCAGACGCACTGCTGATTTATCAGAAAGTTTTACCAGCACACG